GAATACTAGCTGTGAGCGCCGAAATGGCAGCACCGGCTGTATGCTCCCCAGGGAGTTGAGAAAGATATTGGCTGGTTGCAAAGGCCCTATAACCACGGATAATAATTTGTGAACCGCTTTGAGACGACCTACGAACTAGGTTGTGATAAAGCGGTATATAAGAACTTCGAATTATTATTATTATTATTTATTTCTTCAACACTTAAAAGCAGACTGATCGCCATTCTCTGAATCAATACAGAACAGAATAAAGAGACCTACCATGCATCAGAAAACACTCCCTTCATACAATGTATACTAAGAAACGAGAAAAGAATACGGAAGTGTTATCAAACTCATAATTCGGACTCAAAATCGATAAAACTAAAAACAAACTATGATCAAAGGAAAGAATTACAGGAACACCTTTGTTATTAAAAAATAAAAAAATAAAAACAAGGAGAATAAGACCAGGTCGAATCAACTGCGACATTTTAACACCGTAGTTAAGGGAGTAAGGATGTTACTATCAATAAAGGGATGGATCATGATCGGAAAGTCGAAATCGTCCGGCTATCGTATAGATTGGGGATACAGCTGACGTACAAAGTCAGTTGTATCTAAATATACGATCGACCTGGTCAATAAAGTTATTGTTGTTTAAAGACAGCACATCGTCGATATCTCTGAATGTGAAATTGAAGAACTCATCAAAAATATTGTCAATCAGGGACTGAGTGCGTAGATAAAATCTCGTACGCAGATACAATCTTGATTCCAACTGCGGTGGCCTCTCGATTTTATCCACGTGCTCGCGATGAGAAAATTGTTCTCACGACAAACCCTGAAAATACTGTATGATAATCTATAAAGATCGCCAGTGACTACATGTTCAGCCGGACCATTGGGGGGCTGGACCATACATGTATGGAGACGTGGAAAAAACCCATTACACAGGAGCAGGCATCCAAATTCAGCTATTGTAGTGTTTGCCTGCAGTTGAAAAGCTTGGAATCAATGGGTTTGGATGTAGGGTATTAAATGACATTGATCCCCTTGTTAGCGAATTCTTCTCTCATGAAATCCAGCGTTACCGGAGATTCATGGCTATCAGTTCGAACAGGTTTAAAGAGTCGAATTTGTGCCTCATTCTCAAGGATTTTATGAAGTCTCCAAGCTAGTTTCCAAATGTCATCAACAACAGCTACACAGAGAGAGGAAGCGAATGCAGCAGTATAGTTCGAAAATGGTGAACACTCAGTGGTTTCTCTAGAGTTTCCATTAGGCCCTCCAGCATATCATTGTATTCAGTTAGACTATTGTAATGTCGATGTCCATGGTTACATCTCCTTTGGGCAGTGAACAAAGACATTACAATAGTATGACTGCATACTGGACTAGACACATTTCATACACACAGTCAGTACATCCATAGGGTAGAGCCGTGCCAAGAAGTCTTATGTAATACTCCTCCTGTTGTCTATGGTACGGGGTAGGAAGTGTAGGGTTACTGGTTGGATGGTATTTTTGTCTAAAACTCGAATAATAATGGACAGGATGGAATGGTAAGGCAGATTAAAATGGGTTTATAAGCATTGCTTTTCTCCACACAAAGATAAAGCATATTTCCAAACAAGATCATGATGGCAAAATCTTGAAACTATGAAACAGAAGGTGCTCACTAGAAAGATAACAGCAAATTATAATTCAGTTTGTTATTAATGAGAATGAGCGCAACCATATCACCGACGATAATAACATGGAATGAAAGTGGGCCCGAAGGGCAAGTGAGCTTATGCCATGGTGCGGCGTCCGTCGTCCGTCTGTCCGGCGTCAACTTTTTACTTTAAACAACTTCTTTTCAGTAACCAAAATGCCTAGGATGATGATATTTGGCCAGTAGCATGCTGGGATCAAGGGCTACAAAGTTTGTTCAAATAAATGACATTGACCCACTTTCAAGGTCACAGTGGTCAAATATGTTAAAATCTTAAAACAGCTTCTTCTCAATAAACAAAAGGCCCAGGTTACTGATATTGGGCCTGTAGCATGCTGGGATGAAGGGCTACCAAGTTTGTTCAAATTAATGACCTTGACCCACTTTCAAGATCATGGGGGTCAGATGTCTTTATAATCTTCAAACAACTTCTTCTCAATAACCAAAAGGCCCAGGGCACTGATATTTGGCCTGTGGCTGCTGGGAGGAAGGACTATCAAGTTTGCTCGAATGATTGACCTTGACCAACTTTCAAGGTCACAGGGGTCAAATGTTATAAAATCTTCAAACGACTTCTTCTCAATAACCAAAAGGCCCAGGGTACTGATATTTGGCCTGTGGCATGCTGGGAGGAAGGACTATCAAGTTTGTTCAAATGAATGACCTTGACCAACTTTCAAGGTCACAGAGGTCAAATGTCGTAAAATCTTCAAACGACTTCTTCTCAATAAGCAAAAGTGCCAGGGTACTGATATTGGGCCTGTAGCATGCTGGGATGAGGGACTACCATGTTAGTTCAAATGAATGACCTTGATCCACTTTCAACCTAATGTCCTTGTTCGACAATAAAGGTCACAGGCGTCATATGTTTAAATATTTTAATAGGTTCTTATGAAATCTTAAGATTACAAGTGTTAGATTAATAACAGGTGAGCGATGCAGGCCCAATGGGCCTATTGTTTATTGTGCATGTGGAATTTTGAGACTGTTTGCAAGAACAAGATGGCTGCCTGTAAATCATGTTTATTTTTCTCATAAATTATTGGAAGGATATCCTCCTCTAAGTTCCTATCCAGAATTCTCTTTGTTACTATAATTACACTATCCACTGTCATACCCCATACCAAACTAAAGGACAGCTTCGTTCTCGCAAAAAATGGGAGCCTTCAAAAATAGAACAGCTTTATACATGTATATGGTCGATTTAGCATATCTTGTGAGGGGAATCGATAAAGCCAAGATGCAATGTACTTAGATGAAATCGTGAGAACGATTTATTTCCTGGTTGACAATAACTTTGCTGAGTTTGGTGGTAACATTTTCCAGCAGATTGTTCGCATTCCAATAGGAACAAACAGTGCCCCTCTTCTGGCCGATTTGCTCTTGTTTTGATACGATACTGAATTTATTATAAACATTATCAGAACTAGTAATTAAAAACGTTCCTATTCCGTCAAATTCATTTTCAGATATATCGACAGTGTGATTTCCTTAGTCTGAATTCAATGACACTACAGACTTCTACTTCAGTCGCTTTCCTCGATCTTTACTTACAACATGACCTACAGAGACGGTTTACTACTACTTGTATGCTGTACTGTAAGTGTGCCTACCACTCCCATTGTATCGCATCCCTGCCTTCCCCATCTTCGATACTCCATGAGTTACGCTCACTTCGCTCTCGGCACCCCTGTGATATGTCATAGCAAAATTGGAAGCTCGGTGTGCGCCACCTAGTGGATGAGACAAGAAGACTATTTTGATCCTTTGATGAACATCAAAAGAATCTTGCGGTCGCGTAACGGTAAACCTTACAGGCTTTGAAGTCGGGCGTCGCTCCTCTGTAATATTCAAAGGACAGGTATCAGCATAGAGATCCGTCAGTATTTTGTTACCCTTTGTTTCGTTTGCGTCGTCCATTTTTTGTCAAAATATATCAAGATATCCTTTTTCAAGCTTTCTCAACATTTACAACGGGAGAGAACCCATATAGGCATATCCTGTTAACTCGGAAAGATACAAGAATATAGGCATAGCCTGTTAACTCGTAGGCATAGCCTGTTAACTCAGAAACCTACAAGGATAGAGGCACAGCCTGTTAACTCCGAAACATACAAGAATAGAGGCACAGCCTCTTAACTCAGAAACATACAAGAATAGAGGCACAGCCTGTTAACTCAGAAACATACAAGAATATAGGCACAGCCTGTTAACACAGAAACATACAAATATATAGGCATAACCTGTTAACTCAGAAACATACAAGAATATAGGCATAGCCTGTTAACTCGGAAACATACAAGAATGTAGGCACAGCCTGTTAACTGGGAAACATACAAGAATATAGGCACAGCCTGTTAACTCGGAAACATACAAGAATATAGGCACAACCTGTTAACTCGGAAACATACAAGAAAATAGGCACAGCCTGTTAACACAGAAACATACAAGAATATAGGCACAGCCTGTTAACACAGATACATACAAGAATATAGGCACAGCCTGTTAACTCGGAAACATACAAGAATAGAGGCACTGCCTGTTAACACAGAATCATACAAGAATATATGCACAGCCTGTTAACTCGGAAACATACAAGAATATAGGCACAGCCTGTTAACTCGGAAACATACAAGAAAATAGGCACAGCCTGTTAACTCGGAAAAATCCAAGAATATAGGCACAACCTGTTAACACAGAAGCATACAAGAATATAGGCACAGCCTGTTTACACAGAAACATACAAGAATATAGGCACAGCCTGTTAACTCGGAAAAATACAAGAATATAGGCACAACCTGTTAACACAGAAACATACAAGAATATAGGCACAGCCTGTTAACTCAGAAACATACAAGAAAATAGGCACAGCCTGTTAACTCGGAAACATACAAGAATATAGGCACAGCCTGTTAACTCGGAAACATACAAGATTATAGGCACAGCCTGTTAACTCGGAACATACAAGAATATAGGTATAGCCTGTTAACTCAGAAACATACAAGAATATAGGCATAGCCTGTTAACTCGGAAACATACAAGAATATAGGTACAGGCTGTTAATTCCGAAACATACAAGAATATAGGCACAGTCTGTTAACTCCGAAACATACAAGAATATAGGCACAGCCTGTTAACTCGGAAACATACAAGAATATAGGCACAGCCTGTTAACACAGAAACATACAAGAATATAGGCATAACCTGTTGTTTAATCCGATTTATGTTTCATCTTGAATAACATTTATTGAAATGAAATATTCAATGTTGGACAAAGAGAGACAAAAACAGAGATAAAACAAACCTCATTATAAAAATCATTTTAATCAACAATAACAATTAATAAATCAACGTATAAACTTATGCCAAATACCTGCATCAACCTGGATTGAGTTGAAAAATTATTTCACCATTATAAGGGTACATATATTAAAATACGCCATATTTATGACATACTAGTGCATAAAAACACAAATTATAATAGTTTAAATGCCATTAAAGTGTACATACCTTACTGAATTGACCTGTTTTTTTACCCTTATGACTCATTTCATTGCTGCTATTTGGCAGGTATTTTAAAACAGGCAATGGATATGTAAACTTTAATCAATACTTGCCTAACAAATGAATACAATTGAACACATTTTAGCATGTAATGAATTGCACGGGAAAAATAGCATTAAAAAGTCCAGAAAGTCACACCTAGTTCCAGTGAAATGTATTTTTCTTTGGATTTAAGTGGTCTCTCACAACAGCTTCTCAGCACCTTAAAACCTGGGCTTTTTGAAGTGGTTTATTCCTTAAAATATCTCCAAACTCAAAGCAAAGACAGCAAATGGTACTTGGGGACTTTCCTTCTTTCTTTTTAAATTAAACTTTTAACTCGGAATGATACAAGACGTTTCATAAATAACTACAGCGCTGACAAGGATTTTCTAAAAAAAGTGACGGTGACCTTGACTTTGACCCAACAACCCAGAAACTCGCACTTGTTCGAGATGTTATAGTCCTTTGTAATTGTGTGAAGTTTAATCCAAATCCCTCAAGGAATAAAGCCGCTAGAGTGCTGACAAAGAATTTTCTAAAAATAGTAACGATGACCTTGATCCAGACAACCCTGAAACTTGAACTTGTCCCGAGATATTATGGTCCTTTGTAATTGTGTGAAGTTTGATCAAAATCCTTCAAGGAATGAAGCCGCTAGAGCGCTGACAAAGAATTTTCTAAAAATAGTAACGATGACCTTGATCCAGACAACCCTGAAACTTGAACTTGTCCCGAGATATTATGGTCCTTTGTAATTGTGTGAAGTTTGATCAAAATCCTTCAAGGAATGAAGCCGCTAGAGCGCTGACAAAGAATTTTCTAAAAATAGTAACGATGACCTTGATCCAGACAACCCTGAAACTTGAACTTGTCCCGAGATATTATGGTCCTTTGTAATTGTGTGAAGTTTGATCAAAATCCCTCAAGGAATGAAGCCGCTAGAGCGCTGACAAACATTGGTGCTACGTATGTACATACACAGACAGACGGAGAGGAAACCTATAGTCCCCCGGTTTCGCCAGTAGGGGACTAATAAAAGAATGATTGGTATTACTCCCTCACATATCATTATTATCTATGAAGTCCAGCACTGATAAGTGTTTTTCATCTGTACCACATGGCATTGGCTTGTACATACCCTTACTGTTTATCAGAACCTGTCTACAAAAACCAGTGATTCTAAAACCTGTTTCTAGTACCAGAACCTGTCTACAGAAACCAGTGCTTCTAACACCTGTCTCTAGTTCCAGAAACTGTCTTCAGAATATTGAACATTGTTTCCCAGGCCTGTCTATAGAAAACAGTGCTTCTAAAACCTGTTTCTAGTACCATTAACTGTCTTCAGTATATTGAACATGGTTTCGCCGAACCTGTCTACAGAAAGCAGTGCTTCTTAAACCTGTCTCTAGTACCAGAACCTGTCTACAGAAACCAGTGATTATTACACCTATCCATAGTACCAGAACCTGTCTACAGAAACCAATGCTTCTAACCCCTGTCTCTAGTACCAGAAACTGTCTTCAATATATTGAACATGGTTTCCAAGGTTTGTCTACAGAAACCAGTGCTTCTAACACCTAACACCTGTTTCTAGTACCAGAAACTGTCTTCAGTATATTGAACATGGTTTCCCAGAACCTGTCTTTATTGACCATTGTTTCTTCAAACCTGTTGATAGCACCAAACGTTTCACAAAATACGGTTATAGTAAGCAGTCTAAGATTCTGTTTATTTGGACCAATGTTTCTCATAACCTGGCTACACTGACCAGAGTTTCTCATAACCTGTCTACTTTGACCAGTGTTTCTCATAACTTGTCCACACTGACCAGAGTTTCTCATAACCTTTCCACACTGACCAGTGTTTCTCATAACCTTTCCACACTGACCAGTGTTTCTCATAACCTTTCCACACTGACCAGTGTTTCTCATAACCTTTCCACACTGACCAGTGTTTCTCATAACCTTTCCACACTGACCAGTGTTTCTCATTACCTGTCCACACTGACCAGTATTTCTCATTATCTTTCCACATTGACCAGTCTGTCTCTTCTCACTTCTGCTTACCAGAACCTGTATCTACTCACTCCTGCTTACAAGAACCTGTCTCTTCTCACTCCTGCTTTATCATTATCATTATACATTTATTATAGCATCTGACTATAGAACCTGTCTATCAGTGTCTGATCAAAGAACAAATCTAACAGGACATCCTTTTAAAGTAGGGTTTAACATCTAACTTCTGTATAACCTGTCTAATGTGACCTCTTGATAGTACATCTCCAATTTGACCTCTGTTTATATAACCTGTCTAATGTGACCACTTGATAGTGCATGTGTATGTCTAACATGGCATTTAACTATAACCTGTCTAATGTGACCTCTTAATAGTAAATCTCCAATTGACCTATGTTTATATAACCTGTCTAGTGTGACCTCTGTTGATAGTGCATGTCTAACATGACATTTAACTATATAATCTGTCTAATGTGACCTCTTAATAGTACATCTCCAATTGACCTCTGTTTATATAACCTGTCTAATGCGACCTCTTAATAGTACATCTCAAACGTGACATTAACTATATAACCTGTCTAATTTGACTGCTTAATAGTACATCTCCAATTGACCTCTGTTTATATAACCTGTCTAGTGTGACCTCTGTAGATAATACATGTACAATACAATATCTGTTTATCGGCACCTGTCCACTATGACCTCTAAAGAGAGCGGTTCATTGACAGGACTATTTTTTGATGATCAGATGAATCCTTTCCTCAAGTGAGCCGATTCCCCATTTCTTGTGTCTTTCCTGAAAGCTGTCAACAATGTCAACCTTCTCCACACTGCATGTGTCACCTACAAGATACCAGAGTAAGTAAAGTAAAATAAAGTTAACTAAAGAATTTAAACGATAAGCCAAATCTAACTCAAACATCCCTGCAGATCCACCTGGTTGAAGGAAAAAATGTATTACTTTAGATGGAGTGTAAAATTAGTGCAAATTTTGAAACTGATTTGTCCCATTAAAAATGTTTTGACATACACGCAGGTAGAATTAAATAACTCTCTAACCATATATATGTACTTAAGTCTGATTTAGTAATTTGTTTTAATTACACCATCACAGAATTTGATATTGAAACAAATTTCGAACTTTCAAAATTTCTTTTTACTTAAAACTTAAAATTTCTATTACGTAACGTTCAGCGGATTTCAAGACTCATGCTATCGTGTACTTACCATATAACTCGCTGATCTGATCCCCAGGGACATAGTGTGGAGGTCCTGGGGGAGACAAACAGTGGAGACATTACCACAAACATTAACAGTATCAAATCTCTTGACACACCAGAAGTTTTAAAAGCCCTAATTTAACCAATTACAATACAACCTTTATTAGTTTAAATTTTCTCTGGTTCTAAAAGCAGCACCCAGCCCCCAATATCTCTGGTTCTAAGAACAGCGCCCAGCCCCCAATATCTCTGGTTCTAAGAACAGCGTCCAGACCCCAATATCTCTGCTCCTGACAGGAATTTTACAAATAACAGGATTGTTCCTAATCTCACTCAAACATTTTGCCTTCGTGACCCTGGAGGTTTAATCACAAGATAATTGTACTGTTTTCCCCATAAAAAGGTAAAACAATGCAGAATAATCACAATCCTGGTACCTGCTTACTCTTGCAGTAAATGTTTCAAACACCTACCAGCATATTTTGTCTCATCATAAACTAGTGTATCAAGCAGTAAGCGACATTCTGGCTTCATCAGGCTCTTCAGCAGGTCAGTATACCTGGACCAAGGACAACATAAACAGGGAAATGTTAGTAAATACCACAAGGTAGTGACTACAGCAGAAATGTTTCAAGGACTTTGTCACAAAAAAAATGATCAAAGTTGAACTGTGTAGACTTGACCTTAACCTTCTACAAATTACATCATCTGTGAATAGTCAGATTCAACATGACAGTCAAGTAAAACTATACACCTAACAAGTAAAACTATACACCTAACAAGTAAAACTATACATCTAACAAGTAAAACTATACAC